AAGTACTGCTGCAAAAAATGCAGAAAGCACAGAACACACCACAGATAATGGAGAGCTAAATGAATTACTTTCTTGTTCACTATTATACTCTTATAGTATGTACCAGGCTCCACAATTTCAACAGGATGGAAGAACTGAAAGGGAGTCAGAGAAGATAAACTAAATAATTCAACAGCTTAGAAAATAGATCTAGGAGGGAAGGATGCAGATTATTCATGGGGAGGGGGTGGAACAGGGAAATACAATGCTAGTACAGCAAAAAGCATGAAGGCTGGGGATTCAGGCAAACAGGCACTTGCAAGCCAAGTACCCTCTCAGACAAGCTCTTTGACCCCTTGTGCTTCAGTTCCCTGCACAGTGACAGAATGGATCTGGATCACCTCTGGTGATCTGGTGCTGGATGATGCTGCTGATTTCACCAATGCCCCAAACAGGTAATAAGTTTAACTGTCACACATGCCACCAATGTTAGACAGTGCAGTACTTTTTGTGAAAGTTAAAGACAGCAAGTAAGGATCCCGATGTTCTCAAACAGTCATCAGTGATATAAGACAGGAAAAACTCCTGAACATCGAAGAGTAAAGGCTACATAGTATGAAAAGTATTAAAAATGACACAAAATAAAGCTAAACACCTCAGCCAGTGACGCTATAAATCTAAAGCAAAGATTTACTACATTACAGAGCAACGTGAAGCTTCACCACTGGGCTCACGCTAATATGGAGACACAGGTGGGACCAGATACAGTACCTCTGCTCCACAGCTTCTGATGACCCAGCACACATTAGCGAACAGGTAGGAAAAAATTTTTCTTGCCAATTTACATATTTCAACATTGAGTCAATTTTTCCTTATGGCACGGCAGAACAAAAACAAGCCCTAGTAACTTTTCTGGAAAGGACGCTGCAGTGAAGTTTGGGGGGAAGTCCCTTCCCATTCCAGTTCGGCGTACCCACTCCGGCGATCCCAGCGCCTGCCAGCCCGCACCCACTGACGCCCGGGCCCGCCGAGTTTCACCACAGCCTCCCCGCCCCAGAAGCCCGCCCTCTCAGCAGCTGGAGGCCAGGATTCCGAAAGCAGAACGAGGAGTTCCACTTCCCGGCTGCTCGCAGAGGACAGGACGGAGGCGCGGCCGGGACCTTCTCCGCCAGGCAGCTGCCACAGAGGGCTGTCCCGGCACGGGGCGGCCGCTCGCTCCAGGGGCTCGGCCGGTGCCCCGAGCCCTCCGCACGGCGGGGTCCCCTCCTCAGCACCTCAGTCCCTTCCGGGGGACTCGCCCAGCGTCGAGAGACGCGGCGTCCCGGCCCCACTCACCAGCCTCTCCCAACTTCCCGTCCCGAAGCTGCGCCCGAGCGCTGGAACAAGTCCGGCACCGCGAGTGCTAGCCCTGACGCTGCCCCTGCCGGCTTCCTGCCCCGCGGCGGCGGGCCGCAACGTGGCCTTCCCGGGGCGGGGCGGGGCGGGGCGGGG